GCGAATAATTGAGTTCCTAGCTGGAGGGCCAAAGAATTATGGGTACCGACACGTTGATGCTTTAACTGGAAATGATGAACGTGCAGAGCTAAAGATCCGCTCTTTTCCACTATCTTATGCTACACATCAAATGCTTAACTTCCAATCAATGAAAGAACTCGTACTTGGGCAATTTAATATTGATGGAGAAATGTAAGGGGGAAAAAAATTTTTTTTGTTAACAAATCTTTTTAAATTCAGAGATGAAATGTTATCAGAAAATTTGCTTTTCAACAACAACAATGATAGAAATAATTGTATTAGAGTAGAGTTTCCACAAATTGGACGCACTCGCCGCTCGGAACTCTATACCAATCTGGCTAGAAAGGAATACCGCCCTTGTTATGAGAAGGGGAGGATTAGACCAAGCATGGAGACACTTCCTTTCGGTTACAGAAATGAAACATTAGGCCCCCATCAACAACATGTGGTAGTTCAAAATATTTATTAATGAAAAATAATTAATTAATTAATTTAGGCTTCTCCTATTAGCAGAAGACGAAGACGACCATCAACTACAACTCAGCAAATGGGTGTTCAACTAGACTTGCATGATATTCCTGGAACATCTGCATGGACCGAAAATGAATATTTACAAAGATATCCACAATCATTTTAGTAAAATTTCTATATTTCAATTTTTAAATATTTTTTGATATTAATTTTTATTCAATAAATTTATAATCTAGGAAATTTTTTAACTAAAGGTAAAAGAAAATTATCAAACAAATTATCCATCTGTGTTTTACTAGTCAATCCTGTCATAATAATCCGTCCAGAGATGTATATTAGATATGCAGTTTCTTTTTCTTCTTTGTTTTTCATTTTGAATCGAAGTGCCGGAAATATAGATGGCTCGTAGAATATTTGGCAAATATCCTTTTGTATCAATCGTTGTTGTTTAAGATGTTCATACATATTCTCTATAGCTAATCTATTTGGTTGTCGATAAGAGCCGACTATATTTGTAACTCTAAGGTGTCTAACGCATATTTCATACATATCCTCGCATTTTGCTGCTTTATATGATGCTTTTATACTTTTCGTTATCCTCCAAGCTATTTTTCTTGCGAACACAGGACTTGGAACACCAGTTAATACTACTTTGCTAGATTGAAATATTAATGCTGCCGTTGTTTTATAATTTTTATGTCTAATACGCATTATTATAGCATGGAAACGCTGGGGATTATATTCTGTATTAATACCATTTCGAGCTATTTGATGAAAATTTTCTATTTTAAATCGTTGAACACCAGGCAAAATTTTAAAAACACATGTGCAATTTTCAATATTCATAACATTTATTTACTAAAAATAAAAATTACAAAAAGGTTTTAATGGTAAGGAAATTACAAAAAAAAACAATTTGCATATTCAATTAAATAAAATTTAAAAATGATTATTTATTTATTTTTAATTAGTTAATAGCCTTTCATCTGCTTGTTCTTTTCTGTTACACTGAGAACTTCAAGCGGGTAATAAGATCGATGATGGCCACCACCAAATTCGATTACGCATGGTAAATATGGGTGTCGCAATTTAAAGTTGTGTTTGACATAGTAGTATCCGCGGACCTAAATTAACATTTTATTTAAGTTACTTAATATAGTTTACCGTAATTCCAAGATATCCCCCCATTGCTGGGACATTGCACGCTGATTGTACTGTGAAGTCGTTACAACGGACAATAAAATTCCTTGATGGTGGTAAATGAGAGGTGCGTAATTGCACATTAGTTTGCAAATGCGAAATTATTTCCCGCCGTATATCAAGATTGTAGAATAATACGTGCATCTCCTTGAGCACACATTTCCGTAGTTGACAAAGATATTCAATCAATGGCATTGATCGGCGTTTAATGATAGGGATATTCAACGGTTTCTCAGGATTAACACATTTTGGTTCAATAAATGGATTTTCTGGCTTTTTCTTATCTTCGTTCATCTCTTCTTTAATATCTTCCTCCTTCTTTTCCATCTCAGCTACCCAATCTAGTGGTTTATGTTCGGCGTCATCATCATCATCGCTGCCAAGAACTATTTCGAGTATTTTTTCATTGGTATCATCTATAATATCTTCTTCAGTTTTCTTATCTTGTAAATTTTCATCGATATTTATAGTTCCTCCAATTTCTGGCACTATTATTGCAGCATCTTTCTGGAAATTGTTTAAAAAATTACATAATATTAATTAATAAAAACAGACTTTCTCCGCAGATTTATTTTCTTCTGCTTCTTGCTTCGAAGAGGAGTTCTGTTCATCTTCATCGTCATCGGGAAGAACTCCCCAGACGGCCCAATTGTTGAAAGCGTTAAAGTTCATGTTTGTATAAATTATAAGATATAATAATAATATAATAATGTTATATAATAATGTTATATATATAATCTGAAAAAAAGGATAATTATTAAGAAATAAAAATGGAAGGCTTCGAAAGAATTGACCTTATCCACACAACTTTTAAACATCCCTTTACTATGATCGTTTCCGGAAGTACCGGTTCTGGAAAATCAGAATGGGTTAAAAAATTTTTGAACAATTTGACCGAAATGGTCAGCGGTGATAAAACTATTTCGTTGGTATTTTACTGCTATGGGGAATTGAATAAAAATATTTTACAAATGCAAAGGAGCGGCTTTGTTGATAAAGGACAAACCCGCGTTATTGTTCATAACGGGTTACCAAATGGCGGGGAAGATTTTATACACAAACAAGCTATACAATCAGGAGGGTCATTGCTATTGATTTTAGACGATTTGATGGTGGGTATAGACCAACGTCTTCTCGACACTGTATTTACACGTGGATCCCATAATTGGGGTGTAAGTGTTATATTGATTACTCAACATTTATTTAGCAAAGAACTTAGAATTCCCCGAAATAATTCACATTATTTATTATTAATGCGAAATCCTGCGGGGGCATTACAAATTAGAACTCTAGCTACTCAACTCTTTCCCTCACGCACAAAGTATTTCTTAGAAGCATATGCTAATGCAACAAAGGAAACATTTGGATATTTATTAGTTGATGTACACCCCAGTACTCCCGAATTACTTAGACTTAGAACACATATATATCAAAATGAAAATGAAAAACCAATTATATATCTTCCAAAATGAAGAAAAACTTTTCAGCTAGTGCTTTATTAGAGAAAAATGCGAATTTCCTAAATAGTATTCTTGCAAAGTCAAAATCGAAAAAATCAATTAATGAAATTATTTCCAAAGCTTCAGAAGAGCAATTACTATGTCTTGTTGAAATTTGTTTAAATTTACTCAAAGGTAGACTCCCATTTCATAGGAAAAGAATAAATAATCTAAAAAATCAAGCTGCTTTACTACGAAAAATTAGTAGGTCTCGAAGCGCTAAATCAGCTCGGCGCCTTTTAATACAGAAAGGGGGTGGTTTTCCACCTGTTGCGGGTCTTCTTGCCAGTATCGCTTTCCGCTTAGTAGTGGAATATCTTGCTAAATAATATAAATAATGATTAAACGACAAATTTGATTAATTACTTAAAATGCATCATGCAACTAGAATGCTGCTAATACCCGAAGATTTTTATAAGAGTTTAATTGGCATAGACAAACCGGAAGAAAAGGCAAATAACGCTGATGGAACTGCATTAGGTTTATTTCGGGAGCGTTTGCAAAGTACCGAAAATAATTCCATTTTGGACCCTCATACAAAGGCCGCTCGTTATGAGCAGGACTTTAAGAGATATAATAAGCTTGTAAGGGATAAAGAAGAGAAACCTATAAATGTTAAACTTAAAAATTTTGAAGAAATTGCAGAAACATTAAATAAAAATTTAGATAAAAATAATGATACTAATAATAATAATGAAACTAATAAAACTATACAAAAAATTGTTCGTAAAAGAAAGAAAAAGATATCAGGTTTTAAAATTAACAAAAAACTTTTAGCGGGTAAATTGAAAGTTGCGCCTAGAGGAATAGCTGACAAAAATATAGAATTTGAAAGTGATCATTTTTCACCAGATAGTGACCCAACCACAAGTGAACAAGCTCTTAAATATGTCAAAGAAAATTCTAGATCCTTGGGTATAACAGATGGCTTGAAAATAGCCAAAATAGTAGGAGGTCAAGAGCCATTACATAATAGTAACGTTGAAAAAATTATAAAATATATACTTTCGAATAAATCTGTTCGTAAGAAACCAATACCTATTGGCTACAACGAATTTATTCAAAGAATCGATAATCATACATACCTAAAAGATTTGCTTCTACTTCCCTCCTCATCGTCAAAACAAACAGGTAACGGTACTTTCTCGTTTAAGCCATCCCTATGGAAAAATCAGAAGAGAAACGAATAAAAATATTAGATCGTTTATATAAGGATGTTAACTCTCCAACTTGTTTTACTTCAATTGAACCTCTCTTGCGGGAGGCTAGAAAATTTAATAAGAATATAACCCGGGACAATGTTAAAGAATACTTATCAACTCAAAATACTTACACCCTACATAGAAGAGTAGTTAGAAAATACAATCGAATGCATACATTGGCGGCAGGTTTACATACAGAATGGCAAGCTGATCTAAGTATTTTTGATAAGTTAAGTGGTCAAAATAGAGGTTTTAAATATCTATTAGTTTGTATTGACACACTTAGCCGTCAAATATTTGTTGAACCAGTTAAGAGCAAACAAAGTATGAATATGATTGATGCTTTTAAAAAATTGTTTTCAAGAATAAAAATTGTTCCTTGGAAATTACTAACTGATCAAGGAATTGAGTTTACAGCGAAAGAGGTCCAAAAATATTTTAAGTCATTGGAATTGGAGCATTTCTCTATGCTTACATCTCCACAATGGCACGCAGGAATGGCAGAAAGGGCTAATCGAAGTATAAAAGAACGCCTCTATCGCTACTTTACTGAAAAACGAACATTAAAATGGATAGACGTTATTCAAGATATAGTCTCTTCAATAAACCGCTCTTATAATTCAAGTATTGGTATGCGTCCTGTGGACGTCTCTTATGAAAATGCTGAAGAATTAAGAAAAAAATTAAAGGAAAAGGCCATTGAAGAATTTGCTCCTAAGCGTTGGAAGACCAAAAAGTTTTCAGTAGGGGATAAAGTTAGAATAGAAAAGTACAAGCATGTATTTCAGAAGGGATATTTGCCAAATTTCACTAATGAAATTTTTATAATAAATAAAATAAGAGAAGTACCACACCAGCCACCTACATATAAAATTTGTGATCAAGAGGGAGAAATAATAAGGGGGTGGTTCTATTCAGATGATTTGTGTTTGGTAAAGGAACTCAAGAAAAATGAAAAATTTTATGATATAGAAAAGGTTTTGAGAAAACGGAGAATAGATAATGAAGTTCAGTGTTTAGTAAAATGGAAGGGTTACGCTTCAAAACATAATAGTTGGGTTCCTGCAAGTTCAATTACTTGGAAATAATATAAATAGATGGTCTTTGAGAAATACTATTTAATTAAAATGACTTCATTTTATATCGTTTTACCTTCTAATACTAATGTTGACGGGAATAAAACAAATTCATTCAGAGTTCTATTACCCCATAAATTGCAATTTAATTCAGAATGGTCAGTGGGATTAGCTGTAATGGTTTACCCCCATACATGGCCATCTCTTGGTACTACTTCCGAACAATTTTTTACTGTGACATGGCAGACGGGGGAAATTGTTAGTTTAAAAGTACCTTCCTCTAGTTTTGTTAATCCACAACAATTAAAAGACAGTTTGGATAGATCTCTTAATGAAGGTTGTGAAGATTTATCAGAAAAAATGAGGATATTTCATTTAGAATATTTGGGTAAGTTAAAAGAACTTAGAGCCCAAGCAAAGCAAGAATATATTACTATAAAAGGAGAAAAAAAGAAAAAGCCGGCAGATAATACAACCAAAAATGAACACAAACCAGAAGAGAATATTAATATAATTACTGAACCAGAGATATACTCTAATTTACTTTTGGAATACCATAATAGTCTAGATGAAAATAAAAGAAAAATTGTTTCATTAACAAGTGATGCCGGGTTCGAAAAATGGATAAGTGTCTATCGTAAGCCAGGATCTGTGTGTAACTTTGAGTTTTATGCTAAGAAAAATCGTTTCGCACTGACTCTAGATAAAACATATATAAAAAATATTCAAATTACAGATCAACTTGCCTATATTCTAGGGTTTGAATCTTGTGATATATCCGAATCCACGGTAGCAAGATTTATACCTGATATGAGAGGGGGAGTATCATCTTTTCATGTGTATGCCCCTGGACTAATCGAACCCATGGTTATTGGAGATGTAAGTGCTCCTGTTTTACGCATTGTAAATATTAGGGGACAACAAGATGAAATTGTTGAAGAACAATTTCTGTTTATACAGTATCATAAATTGTTAATAAAAGAAATTTATGAAATTTTTATTGAAATAAGAACATCAAGTGGAGCTCTAATGCCATTTCAATATGGAACTTGTACATTAACCCTTCATTTTAAAAAGTCACCCTATTTCTAATTCGTTATGAACACTTTACAAATAAATAAAATATTAAATAGAAATAACATCACAAAATATTATTATATCGGTTGTTTCCCTTCGGATTCTATTCCTTTCTCCATTAATTTTAAAATCTTTTGTATGGTTGTAAATACTGATACAAGTAGGGAAGCTGGTAGTCACTGGATAGCAATATTTTGTCAATATCCAAGTGTAGATTATTATGATTCGCTGGGGATATGGCCCCCAATAAGCTTACATATACGAAACTATTTGAGTTCATTTCAAAGCGTTCGCTTTAATCGAATTCAAATTCAACATCCCTTCCAGTACACATGTGGACAACACGTAATATTTTTCTTGTTTCTGCGATGTAAAGGATTGCACATGGATAAGATAATTAAATATTTAAAAGGAGTTGACGCAGACAAATTGGTTTCAGAATTTGTCTCCGCTAAGATATTTAGTATAAATAGTTGAGAATTTACTACATTGATATTAAAAATAATGCATATCGAATTTGATCCCTCGCATGTTGATTGGTCAACATTGACCGATTTATCACCAGACAATTCGGTTCATCAATGGGGTGGTTATAATGTTTTTCGAGGTGTCCCATACCAACAAGGCAGTGGTCTAGGATCCGTATTTAGAAGTTTTTTGCGATACCTGATTCCTTATGGAAAACATATTGGTAGTGCAATTGGTAGACAGGGTTTGGAATCTGGCAATCGAGTTCTAACAAATGTTTTAGAAGGTAAAGATTTAAAGGAATCACTTATAGATGAGGGTAAATCTGGTCTAAAGAATTTGCTTCAAAAAGCAGCAGACAATGTTGACAAACAAAAGGGGAAGGGTTTTGATTTTAAACGTTACAAAAATATTGAGAAACGCCTTGCAATAGGTCAGATGAATAATGATAGTCATGATTTAGAGGTAAAAACTATAAATAAACGACCATATTCGAAAATAGGTCCCCCACATTTTATTCCAAAGCCTTCACGAAAATCGCACAAAAAATCTACCAAAAAACGATCTCGTGTAGACGCGCTGGGTACATATTAAAATGAGCTGCTGCAAGAAGATAAACGAAAACAGCCCTTTAGCTCTTAATAGTGCCTTGAGTATATTCTCTGTTCCACCTACAAATGTTTCAGTTGTTCGTTCCTTTTTCCGTGAAATACTTCCCTTAAGTACAATTACCCAAGATTCTCCATATTTATTTCGTTTGTTTAGCGATAATCTCTGGACTGATTTATCGCGTACTTATCTCTATCTTGAGCTTTCGATTGAAAGATTAGGCGGAGACAATAAATGGAGTGCAATTACCGCTACCGATACAAGCATTGCCCCAATTCAGGGAATAGGCCAAACATTTATTCAACAATTAAAAGTCACAGTGGGAAATAATGAAGTTTACGATAGTGGGACTCTTTATCCTTACAAGGCGTATATAACAAATGAACTTTCATTCCCTAATAATGTTAAATCTAACTTTCTCGCATCCATAGGATATTATAAAACCGATAAACATGATGATAGCATTGACTTTGGTTTCCTAAAGCGAAGTTCCCTCTTCTCAAATGGCAAGAAATGCCAATTTCTTTCTCGCTTAGATTTTGATTTGGGAAATCAAGAATTATTTTTATTAAATAATTTAGATGTTAATTTTAGTATTTATCGATCTAAAAATTCATTTGCCTTACAAAAGCTAAACTCTACAGATGAGAATCAGTATAGACTCTACGTTCATGACGTTAAGCTTTTTGCAAAAATGATTGAAGTTCAACCATCCCTTAACATGAATATTTACAAGACTCTAGAGTCCAAACCAGCCACTTATGCAATTCGTAAAACTGAAATTAAGTCAACTTTTCTTACTGCGGGACGAACTGAAATCGAATACAATGCATTTAGTGCAAGCATCCCGCGGCGAATCACAGTTGCACTGGTAGGTAACAAGGCCTTCAATGGAGATTTTAGTCTATCTCCTTTTAATTTTCTACCCTATGACCTTAGAGATATTTCAGTTCATACTGGTGGGAATATTTACCCCATGGTCGCCTATAAATTAAAATTTAACGAAGATCTCTTTGTTCGCGCGTATGTTGACATGTATGAGGCATTGGGTATGGCTAATTCAGATCGATCCTTCGATATTTCGATGGAAAAATTTAAAAGCGGCTGGACCTTCTTTGTAATCCCCTTAACTTCCACATTAGATGATTCATGCGGTTTCGAGCTTTTGCGAAGTGGTACGACAAGTATTCGCTTAGAATTCAATACTCCAATTCCCACGGGGGGTGTTGAAATGATTGTTCTAGGGGAATTTGATCAGATGCTCATGATTGACTATAATCGCCATATTGTATCTGACTCAAATTTGGGTTAATACATAAGAAGCCTTTTCTATTTCAATAACAAAAATGCAGAATATTTCTGACTTTGGTAATTTCTCCAATCAATCATTTGATTTTTTGACTATAGAAAATGATTATATAGATGCCCCGATGCCTTATGAATTATTGATTTTAGTAATACAATACACACTATTATTACCTATTATTTTCCTCTGTTGGATTTTAATGCTTAGGTTTTTAAGGACCCATGGATATATTACTCAGACTCAAGCAGACAATATGATAGATACTCTAAGAAACCTCCCATTAGATGAATGATTAGGTTTAAGATACATTAATAGTAAAAGTAAATTAGCTTCTTGGTAGCTTAGTCGGTAGAGCATCCGCCAATAAATGAAAGGTCGCCAGTTCGATCACTGCCGAGCGGCTTTTATTTTAAAAGTATTTTTAAAAATTGGCAACTTGGCAGTTGACATTTTGTCCCTGGACATTTCATCCCCCGGCATTTTGGCCTGTGACATCTGTCCCTTGACATTTTGTCATGTGGCATTTTGTCGAATGACCAAATGGCAATAACTGGCCAGCCCTCTCCTCCGGCCGGCCAGGGAAAAATTCCTCTAACACCCCTCACCCGATATTTGTCTCTCCTATAATCGTGTAGTCTATCATCAATCAATAATTTATTAGTGGACATATGTATAGTAGTGGTAAACAAAATTCAATAAAAAATAAAGTAAAAAATATTTTGAAATAGCCTTTGACATTCACAAAGTGCCGCTAAAATCACGAGTATAATGTACTTTATTTTATGTAAATTGCGACATGTTAAACAACAAAATTTTCTTTTTAAACAATTTTTCTGGCGGATCCTGAAAAATCCCGGATTCGGACTTTTAAAATAATTTCTTTATAAAAATTCCGCTAAAAATATGCAAATTAGTGTAAAATTTAGTAACTTAAACACTGTGACTTTAAAAAAGTATTGTCAGTTGCCGTCAAAAATTATATCGGTGGATTTGGAGAAATATCGAGGGCCATAAGGGGATTATAGGCGATTTAGGGGATATCGGTGGTTTCTGTTAAGAGACTTTAATCATTTTTCAAAAACTTTATTTGTTTGTAAAAAGAACGTGGGCGATTATTCATTTTAATTGAACAAATTTAGTCAATAAGTGCCACATTAAATTTTTATCAAGTATGCGCGTGAATACACTTTATCATATGTGAATTGCCAAAAAAATGTTCTTTTAGTATTGATTAATTTAAATAATTTTTCAATAAAAAATTTTAATTTTTAAATTAAATAATTTATTTTTAATTTAAAATTGAAAATACGGCAATATTGACTTCAAATAGTTTGCTTAACTTTATGAGTTGGCTATAAGAACGTGGTTTGTGTTTACTTGACCAGTTACCAGAGGTCTTAATCATTTTTGAATCTTAACCTTTACGCATTTAATGTTCGGACGGGTTTATCTTTAATTTCTGATTTTTTTTTAATACTTGTTTGGCACCAAAAATTTTCTCAGAAAGTTGTGAATAATATAAAAAGAATTTTCAATTTTTGTTGGGTTGAAGCCAGTTTTTCGTGCTTCTGTCTTGAATGTGGAAAATTTACAATCATGAAGAGAATACAAATACAATGACCAAATTCTTTCGGTCCTTTTCAAGTGGTTTTCTGGCAAAATTTCTTGTGCCAGATTTATAAATGTACAGGGAACGGCAATTTTTCCGCCACTTTTGTTTTGGCCATATCCGGCTTCTAACTTTTTTGATTAATTTTTTGATTCCCATACAGTAAAAATAATCTCGTCCGTAATTAGAATTGTGAAGATACTACAGCTTTTAAACTGGCTGAATATTAATGTAAGGATTCCAATATAATTTTTGAGTCCATAACCGTCTGTTTGGGGGCCTCGTCCTAATGAATTCCAATGTTTTCTAATGAAATCTTGTTATGATCTAGAATTAGTCCTATGTAGGTGGGAGAGAATGTTTTAGAAAACATAAATTTAAAAAATAATAAATATAAAATATGAATCTTTTCAGTTTGTTAATTGTTTCCATTTCCTCTTATTCATCACACACAAATCCCCGAAGTCTTTCTTTTTTATTTTGTTTCCAAAAATCTTTTAAAACAATATTTCTAATATCATTATTATTTTCTAATTTTGAAACTTTATCATCAAGAATTCGTGATGGAGTAAGTTCCCCGTTTAAACGACATACTCGTTTTTAATTAATTCGTTAATGTCTTCAAGTTCAATTGTTTTTGATTTAGAAATGATTTAAATTCAGGGTCCTCATTTGTTCTTATTTTGAAGTACAGTACTTATAAAATTGAAAATGTAGTTACCTACATATTTACTTATAAAGGAAAATTTTGGACCACGAAAAATTAAAAAAAATGGGGGTATTTACAGTTTATTCTAATCTAATAAATGAAATGAAAGTTAAATTTACAATGTTTGAAAATAAAATATAACGTATGGAGATATATACATAAAGAAATTTAAATGGGGATTTTTTGGGTTTTCTAATTTTTAATTTTTTTGGGTTTTTAATTTTAAAAATTTTTTTGGGTTTTTTATAATTCTGTCCGTAAATATGGGAATTTACATAGTAAATATAAAATAGTTTATATACAATGAATTGAGATTTAACAGAAACGAGTATTCACGAGAAATACAGGTACGAGCAACTAGCTAAATAATCATTCGAGTACTCGATCTGTCCGATCCCTAATTTAGATAGATGTTTGTGTATATAATATGCTTTGATTTTCAAAATTATCTTGTCTTGAAAGTTATTATTCAACCATTTTAGGAGTCGTAGGAATCAATGGGAACTAAACGTGAATAGTAGAGGTCCAAGATTCTTGGTGTTGATACCAAAAATTTTCATGGGCCTGAGCCTTCTTTTTGTTTTGAATGAATGAAAATTTTCTTTGTAGAGAATGATAACATGTTTTGCAGAGAATTACATGAAATCATGCCATTATATACTCAAACATAAAATTTAAAAATAAATTTGGAAGAACTTATATTTGGAAATGTCTTGTTAAATCAATGGTGTTCCTTGTAAAATTTAAAAATACGCTCATGAATTTTCTCTAAAATGTCTTTATCAGCTTCATTTTTAGTGTTAGCTTCAAATATTCCAGCCAATATTTGGGGGTTCTGTTTATCAAAATCGTCGAAATTGAAGGCTTTGAAAATTTTTTTCATGCGTGTATAGGCTAATAAAACGTTTCCGGCATTGATACGGATTAAAACCTTAAATTAAAATTTTTGTTAAAATTGGTTAAAATTATTAGTAAATTCTTAAAAATTAGTACAAACAATACTAAAAATTTTGTAATTTTGGCCAATTTATTAGTAAATGTAGACAGACTGAACCTTTCCAAAGCAGGTTAGAATGTTAATAGACTGTGAGAATAATTTTTACAGTTGATTTAAACTGACCGATGATTTTTCGAGCTTATTATGCTTAGTTTTATCATGAACATTATGTATTATATCGTGAAATTTCTCCTCCTCTATCAACCATTCCTTTGGTAATTCCATATTTTTCTCTATATTATCAGTAAGTGAACTCAAAAGAACGTGTTCATACGTGTAGTAATTTTTGTGTTCAAAAAATTTTGCGCAATCTTTAAGAGCTTTTTTCAGCCAAAATTCTGCAACAATCCATGTCTCAAAGCTCTCTTTGAAGTGATCAAACCGAACTTTCTGTTCTTTGTCTAAATTTATTTCACCTTTTTGATGCTTTTCGAATATTTCAATTTCTTCCTGATTTATCTATAAATATTAAATTTGTAATGGTAATTTGAGAAATATGCCATTTAAACAACCTTCCTTATATTGGTAGAATATTTTATCGGGTAAATCGTAAATTCTTAAAATTGAAAGAGATCTAGGCCTTCCGTTCAAAAGTTAATAAAGAAAGCAGACAAAGATTACATTTTAGAGAATTTACTAAAATACTTAATAAAAATATGAAAATACAAGCCTGGTAATTTTGGCTTTCTAAAACATTCAAATCACGTATTTTGTTAAGAGTATCAAGCATTTTGTTCAAGTTTTTGTAAACTTTCATACTTGCATTTAACAAAGAATTGTGAAGATTCCACAGTTTGTAAACTGGCTGAATTTTGATTTTTATACAGGGTGCGGCAAATTAAGCGCGCTTTTGTTTTTTGCCATAACTTTCTTCAATCTTAATGAAAATTGATAATTCTTTTTTTGTTTTATTCCCAACACTTTAGGAAACTTGCTGATACCAAAATTGCTTTTTAATTTTAAGTTTACTCTGAGTAAACTTCCCTCATAGTTTGAGCAGAATTTTTTGGATAAAAATTGGCCTAAATTCAAGGCTGAGATTTTAATATAGGAAATGTTTATATCATTCAAATCAGCTCTTCATTCTGATTCGAATGACATAAAAATCATGGGGCTACGACAAATATCGAATGAAATACGGTCCTCTGAATGATAAGTTAAAATAATTTTGATAAAAATAAAATTTTTGTGTAAAATTTTCAAAAATGAGATTATAAGCTATTTCGATGCTCCTGAACGAGATGAGTCGTTTAGTACCAAAATCATTGGTATTGAACGATTTTGAACGAAGTTATGGTCAATTAAACTTTGGCATAAAAAATGTTTTTAAATTTTCCAGACGATTGAACTCGATTATCTTTGCCAACAGTGAACCAAATTTTTAATATTTGGTATCAGCAAGTTTCCTAAAGTGTTGTGAATAAAACAAAAAAAGAATTATCAATTTTCATTAAAATTGAAGAAAGTTATGGCAAAAAACAAACGCGCGCTTAATTTGCTGCACCCTGTATAATTTAAATAGAAAAAGATTTAATTAGATTTTAGGCGCACTATTATTGTGTTCGGGAAATTTATTTTCAATTTTCCGAGTTTGTTGTTTTGGAGGTACCGATTTAATTAATTTTATTGTCACCAAGAGAAAGCGGGATTACAAAACGTTAGCCATCTTGGTGGGCCTATTTGGTGGGAGCTAACTTATTTTTAATAGATTTCACTTTAGATCATTGGTAGTTACGTTCATACTACATATATTTTAGAAAATATTTTTTAAAGAATAAATAAATCTAACATATGATGAATGTTTCATTGTAGTGTTTAAAGGATATGAAGATAATTCGTTTATTTTTTCATAAAATTCCATTAAGTTGGCAATTAATTTTTGCATTTTCATTTGTTCATCACCTTCCATATGAAATATAGGTACTTTCTCAGTATTTTGTTTCCACAAAACTTTTATCATAAT